AAATTAGCAGTGAAAGTCATGGTTCAAGTCATGGCTATTATCTTTAGCATATTGGTTAACAGCTAATTGGCTTTTGTCTTGAATATGTTCCTTTTCTGGAGCTGATGGAAGGGTTTTTGATTGCTTCAAGAGATCAGCAAGACTCAGAGGTCAGTACCTCTGAAAGAGGTATTCTGGTTTTTTGGACAAGAAACACAGCAGCTTCACTTTCTTTGTCTCTTTATGCCAGAGGAAGAAAGAAAACACTACTTGGTACATGAGTGGTGCAGGACTCTCCAGTATCCATGTTCAAGCATGTTTATCTTTGTGTTTTGGGTTTTTTTGTTTGTTTTTTCCCCGTAATTTCAAGTAAAAAATGAAAAACAACTACAACAATAGCAACAGTAAATAAATACAAAGAACTTTCAAATTTCTATGTATTTTGGCCAGCTTGTAACTATCCACTGCTCACCAGGATCTCAGTAGATATTATTATTTATATGATATACACATTGTGTGTCATTATATATACGTTACATATTATTGTTTAGAAATAAGTTGTAAGTATACTACTTAGAGGTCAGAGAAACTTTCTGTATCAGATTATGGATTTGATCTTAGACTAAATAGCTGGTTGCGGGTTTTCATCTTTAACTATGAACTCTCTCCCCATCACAGAGTTGCTAATGGGTATCTGAAGGTTGTATTTTCAGTATCATTATTCGAAAGTCATATTGCAATGTACTGAAAGTACATCCTTAAAGTGTCTGTTTCAGCAGGTTGTTATCTCTTAGAGGTAGAGATGTTTTCAGGAAGAGCAAGTTTGACTTTAACGTAACATCTTTATAGGCCTGTTTCATTAAAGAATGTTAGAAGCATCAGGCTGATCTGTTGGTGCTTACACCACCACAGAGATGTCTGGAGGAATTTTAGAGCATTTGAATTCATGGTATCAGTGTCAATGACCATCTTTCCTAAAATACACATGGCATCAAAACAACTTGCTTTCCCATTTCCTTTAATAAAGTTGCCCCCATGAAAACTGCACACAGTCAGTTGGATGGCTTTCTGTTCTTACACAAATGTATTTTGGACTTGATTTCTTTTTCAGTAATTTTGATCTGCCATTGATATACTGTCTCTTGGAAGTACAGGTTGCCATGTGGCTGCAACAGCTGCTTCACTATTTTCAGTTGTAGCCTAATGCCTCCTCAGTCTCTGCCAAATTCTGGTAACAATAGCATTTTTAAAACTTTGAAATTGTTCCCCCTGATGTTTCAAACCATTATTAATTGTTTTGTGAGTTGCCGGACAAAATCCTTTTTTTCTATTTTAATTTTCTGAACATTTTTACGAAGGATTGTAAAGCAAGTCTCTTCTACTGAAGTAGATTTCAGTTCACACAGTCTGTTCTGATTGCATGTCTTAAATCATAGAATTGTTATGTTTGGAAAAGACCTCCAGACCAACTGCCTTATTCTCAGTTTCCAAGTAAATTAATCTACCAATTTCAACTAGCGTTCTCTCACTTTTTTACTAAATTTTTGGATTATAGGAAAACAGTAATATGCCTTGCATTTTATTGTTGTTTCTTTGAACTATCTTATTGATGTGACAGAAGTGATGACAGCATTCAGGAAAGTAGGTGGTATCATTCAAGTTCCATTAAAAAAAATAAAATAAAATAAAAAAACCGCGCACACACACACACACAAAAAAAAAAAACCCCTAGGATTATTTTATGTTATGTGGGAAGACAAAGGTACAAAATTGTAACTTGCAGGCTGGTGAAGATTGTTAGATCCTCTGGAACCAAACATGGTACAATAGTGAAGTCCCTAGACTTTACTTACATTTCACATAGATCTAGGTCTGTACTTGTATAAAATTTAGTAATAGAGAGAAAAATCAAAATTCTAGAAAATAAATGCTGGAAAATAACTTGGCTGCATTAGTTATTAATTTGCTCTACTTTGCAGAAGCTCTTCTGAAATTCATTTACAGTAAATACACTTTTTGTCCCCTTTTCAATTATTTTGCTTTTGCTTTCCAGTTATCTGAGGAGTATAAACGAACAAAACATCATTGATTCAATGTCCAGCACAGATAAGATGTCCTACATTTATCAATATTGAATGCTTTAGCATTAGAGCAGCACAGACCAGCTGGGATTATAAACAATTTAGGCAAAGGGAATGTGTGTGATTATAATGTTTTATTGATTCATGAAATATTATTAGTAGCCATCATAGCCTTAGCACTATAAAATCATTTCTTGTTTCAAATGAAACAGTTGTATGTTGCATAAATATGTTATTGTTTTGTAGACTATGTGCAATCCTGAAAGTTCATTGTATACTTGGAATCTGGTATGACTTGAAGAATAGTTGATGTGTAAATCATTGCCTGTGTTATGTACTAGGATATTGATCCTCTATTCATCCATTTGGTAGAAAGTACTACCTCCTACTCCATAGTTCAAAATCCTGCTGCTGAAAGTATGATCGTTTGCATGCTTTGAGATGTATAAATGCTTCCCAATCTGAATATTACAAAAGACAGTCTCCAAAAGAAAGCCTGCCCAAATAAAGGATATACAGATTGAACTAATCTCTTAATTTCAGTTGTGCGGGGATTCAGGAATGACAGGTCATTGTCATATGGACAGAAAAGAGAACTGTTGGTGAAGTGTGAAGCAGTGACTCTCCCTGTAAATCAGGTGTTCCATCACCCATTTTTCTAGCGTTAGCTCTTTCCTTTTGGGATACAAAAGAATACAGTAGGAAACCAATGTTCCTAAAATGATCTTTATTCCATCCCATCTGTTTTCCCTGTCTTCCCTTCCCCTCCTTTCATCTCTTTCCATTCTCCCTCTCCCCAAGCAAATTCTCTCAAATAGTCTGATCATGAGCTAAATCAGTAATTACGGAGGCATCAACAAGTATAGTTAGAAGCTGACAGCACAGGAACTGCACTGTGTGGCCACAGGCTCATTAGGCTCACCCTGCTCCTCTCACTGCTTTCTTTAACTCTGCAGTCTCTTCACATGGGCACATTAGCTGTTTTCTTCAGTAGCATTGCAGTTATCTAATTATCTTACAGTAGACCAGTGTTCAAGTTTTTATGTGTATGGCAGCCAGCACAAGAAAACCCCAAATGTTGCTCAATGGGACATATTACCTCTATAAAAGGTCAGTAACAATTCCTGTTGCATTTCTTTTACTGCTGTGCACTCACTAATGAGAAAATGGGAGCTACTTCTGAGCTTTAATACACTTTCAGTTTGTTTGTTCAGGAGTGTTCATCCCAAGTCAGCCTCAGGATCTGCTAGTCTGAAAATCAGTGTCTTCTCCAATTTTCTCCCCTGGTTTTCTCCACCAAACACTTGATGGGAGAGATAGTGTAATTATTTAAAGTATTTTGGGAAAAAATATCTCTCTGTTTCTATGACCCAGTCCTTCCTGTAAGAACTTCTGTAGGAATGTGCGATCTAATCTATTAAATGATTCAAGTTGGTGGGTTTTTGTTCTTGTTGTTGTTTGTTTGTTTTTCTCTTCTTTTACGTAGCTGCATTAATTTCTGTTTGCTACTAACATTTTTTTCTTCATATTCTTGTTCATTTTCTTCGAACTGTGCTCCGTCATTCTTCTGTCATTCAAACACTCCGACTGAGAGACAATTTGTAGCAGCTTTTCAGAACTACTATTTAGAAGAAAATGTTTTACGCTGTTTTACAAAATAAAAATATGTTGTTGGCACTGGCTTTAAGGGGACCCGTTTGTGAGTGAAAAAAAAAAAAAAATCTATATTAAGATTTTCTATTGTGATTGCTCTATTTAAAAGTTCTTCTTTGTGTAATAGTTCATGGTGAAGTTGCTTCTATTTAAAGCACTGAGTTTGATCTTGGCTTTGATCTGTAGCTTTTGATCTTGAAAGAAGGATGTTGTGGCAGTAAAACATAAAGAGTAGGAGGACATTTTTTCCTTTTTCTTCTTCTTGTTACAAAGTTAAAGGGATGTTGTCAAGATTTAGCAGGCAGTAATTGGACCTACCTTTATTTACTTAACTCTGTTTGCAAAGTCCATCTAATTCTGTATGCAGGACAGTTTGCTCCTGCACATGTTTTTATGAGCCCTCTTTTTTCACAGGAGGACGGCTTTTCTTTAGAAGCTTTCAGAGAATGGTCATTTATAGCGGAGAGTATAAATTAGTTCTAAAACGCTGAGAATAGCTTAGTTATACCAAGTGTGACTCAGTTGTTTTTAATGCTGAACACAAAACATCAAAAATAACCCAAATAGAAGATTTCTGAGATTTTCCATGGCTGACCTAAGTTGCGCGTCTCCCATCGCGCTTAAGAAAAAAACGAGCGCAGAAACATCTGCTGAAGGCCCATGCCTAAATTTAATCACCTGCTCGTGCTCCCGTGTTGAATATCAAGTTTTTCTCGGAGGCCTCAGTGCTGCACTTGCTGTGCCGCGATAGGAACAGAACCTGCTGAGGTGCTCGTAGCGAGCTGCCCTTCAGAACGCACGGCATGCAGTTACCAGCTGCGTTCTTCGGCGTCACGAAAGCACCGGGGCAAGCCGTCAGGCATTAACGGTGCCGCACTCCTGACCCAGCCTGCTCGCCCGTCACCAGGGCGCACGGCTGTTTTGCTAGGACAAATTGCGGAGGGCTTTACGGGAGCTGTGCGCCATGGGGCTCGGGAGAGGGAGAGCCGTCCTGGAGCTGCGGGCTCGGAGGGAGCGCGGGGCGCCGGCGGCGACTCTTCAGGCCGGCCGGAGGAGGCGCGAAACTCCCGGTGGGGTCACCCCGGAGCCTGCCGGTCCCTACGTCTTTAAGGCAGGCTCCTCCTCTGCGCGGGGTTCCGGGGCCGGAGCGGGGGACCCCGCGGAGGTGTTGTATTTCCTACCGAAAGCAGCGGGACGGCTGGGCTGGGGGTGGCGGCGGCGGCGTTCCTCGGGGAGCGGCTCGGCTCGGCACGGCTCCGCCTCACCGTGCGCTTTCTTTCCGTACAGCCGCTGCTGGAGGAGGGCGAGACCTGGAAGGAGTGCAAGCTCGTGCAGCAAGTGAGCGCCGAGGTGAGGAGAACCGTCCGTCCGTCTGTCCGCTACCCGCTTCGCCCCGCTTCGCCCCGCTTCGCCCCGCTTCGCCCCGCTTCGCCCCGCTTCGCCCCGCTTCGCCCTTCGTGGGTCCCCTCCCCGAGTTGTCCGCCTGACCTCCTCCCGTGCCGCTTTTGCTTCAAAAGCATCGTCGCTCTCTTCCCAGGCATAGAGGCGCTTGTGTGGGGGAAAAACCCACGTGTTGTTGTTTTGTTAAAAATAACAGCTCCACCGGCTGACGTCGGTGGCTGGAAGTAAATTTCTGATTTGTAATAGAAGGTGTAAGGGATGGAATGCAGAGGTTGTCCCCAGGATTTTTGCACGCAGGAGTAATAACTTTACATTTGGCAGCCCGGTCTGGCTTCATACACCTTTTCTTTATTTAAAAACAGCAACAACAACAACAACAACAACAACAAAAAACAACGACCAAAGCACCTTAAGCTGAAAGGTAAGGTGCAAGTTTGCTTTAGTAAAGAAAGAAAGGAAAATAGCGCTTCACAGGGTGGAGAACAGCGTTTCACTTCAGCCGTGTTCAAGTAACTAAGCAGATTACCTAGACATCGTTCGGGATAGGAAAATGCTTTTCCTCTCCCAGTGAAGCAATGGAAAAAATTGTCTCGAGTCTGTTTATAGCCTTCTTATTAATGCCGAGTGGCTGCACTCGCATCACATCTTCTTTCTAAAAAATCACTGTGGTTTTGAACTCCAGGTCACAAAATGGATTCAGGCGAACCAGAGGATCAGGAAAAGCAGCAGGAAGAAAAGAAAGCAGGACAAAGTTGTTTTTCAAAAGGTAAGGATTCATGTTGTGTGTTTGTGTAAATGGGCAAAGGGCTGCATAATAGAAAGATTTTAAGATGATGCCTTATAAACTATAAAGAGATGTTCTTAGTTTCTCTGACGAGGTGATAGTAATTATTTCACTATGTAACTTCTATGGAAATAAATGGTAGAAAGAAATCATTAGCCTGCAATTTCAGGGACAAAAGTTCCCTGTTTTTGTGTTAAAATTCATTGTTCTGCAGAAGAAAGGTAAGAGCACTCTCATCAGAAGTATCAGTAGCGCTTCAGAACAAGAGCTTATCACAGGACCTGCACCGTTATTTGTTAATCTTCAGATAGGTTTAGCTGATAAACAATCTGTTGGTGAGCAGTGGGACAGTACAATGTATGATGCCTGCACTGAAATAGGTGCTCTGATAATGCTTTTGGCTCTTCAGTCGAAGTGGTTTTCTAAGTCTTACAGATCATGTAGTTGCACATGGGAATTCACGAGGGTGTCTTGGTGATTATTTTAGAAATTACTGCAGAGGACTTCTTCAACTGCATAAGCATTAAAACATGTGCTTTGCCTGTTGTGAATGAACAACTTTTTCTTTTTCCCATGATACTCCTATAATACTGACTACTTAAATCATGAAGTAGGGAGGTAAATAATCAACTGGAACTTGTATTAAATAACCGTTTTTTCTGTTCTCTTGAGGAAAAACATGATTCTAATACTTATCACTTATGAATAAAGATGCATTTCCAAATGCATTGACAGAATTTTGTGGGTTTTTTTGCTCATGTTGATTTTAGAAACATATTTTTAATTATCATTTTTTAAAACATTACCTTTAAAGGATCAAAATAGCAGCATGTTGTTTTGCTGTTTCGACAGTGCTTCTAGAATGTATGATGAATCATTGCTGTTTCTGTAGCCAAATTCTTGCTGATAGCATGACTGCCAGCTCCTGGGATATGTTGCCTTAGTATGGGCATTGCAGTATTTGACAAATGTCTACAAAGTGCATTGTTGTATGTGGTGACTCATCAGCTCTGCAGTGCATTTAAAAAAACGCCACCAAATTACATATCATTTAGAATAAGATGTTCTGTGTTGTCATACTTTAGAATGATGTGATCTAAACAGAGATTGCATAAACTGTTAAACCAAGTAATTCAACTTCTGTTTATTTTCATGTGTGTGAATGTTTATTTGCACGTTTTCCATTTTTATTTGTTTGTTCTATATTACCACTGATTTCTTAACAGTTCAAAAATATCAATATGTGAATTGTTGAGCAAAATGCACTGAAGATGGAAATAGCCCTAATACAAGCTACAGATTGCATACATTTTGAAGTAATTTTTAAATTACAGAGGAAGAAGTAGGTCCGCTGCCACATCTTCAACATAGTCTTAAAACCACTTTATACTGTCACAGCCTCTAGTATGTAGACTAATCATATTAGAATGATAAAATAAAAAAATAGTGTATTATACTATGAAATACCCTCTTCTCAAAAAACAATATTGTTGCAAGGTCTGTAACATCAATATGAATTAAAATTAAAGGTAAGAATACACATTTTCTTCTAGTATGTGTAAGTATTAATAATTCTTTGAGATTCAATACTCAGTCACAGAACTGCATCTGCAGGTTGGTCAACCGCCTGGGAACAAAAGGGCATATCAGTGACCTTACATTTGATAATGAAATTATCGATTAGGGGTGGGAATTGTTATATTCTCTAGGAATTTGTTCATTGCAATGATGGCTTTTCCAGTGGAGACAGAGAAGAGGAAAGGGAGCGTGATTTTCTTGGCACGGCAGAGCTTCATTGCAATATTAAAATTCAGACTTTGGTTACAACTTATCTTTCAGTACAGACTTACCAGCCAAGGTAGGTGGTACCCAGTCAGATTATATGTTACACTAGTATTTTTTAACTTTGTCTGGATATGTCTTGGCTTGTAGCAGAAACAGTGTTGTACAACAGATTAAGTACTTTGTGAGTAAATAAGAAAGAGAATAAATTTGTAATGAAAAAAGGATGGAGAAAGGATTGAAGAAAAAAAAAAAACAGATGAGATAAAAACATAAGGTGAGAACGGGAAGATGAGGAGCAGAACAATAAGGAAACAGAAAAGTAAGAGCTGGTATCAGCTTGTATCACAAGTGCAATTACAGTAAGGTTACTGGCCTCTTCTGGTATAGCTAGAAAACCAAGCTAATCTTGCTTTCAGAACAAGCACGAACTTGCTAAAGTTAGCTTCAAAACTGTCATGTTCCTGTTCTTTTTTAATGTTTTAATTTGAATCCACTACACTGAGAATCAAAGCAAGGACCAAACCTGAAATAGATATCTTGAACTTACATACCGTGCAGAACTTAACAACTACAGAAAAAATCCTGAGTGTTATCCAGATAGTGTTTGTGTGAATCATTTTCAGAACCCTACCTTTCCGAATTTGGTTAGCTTTACAGAACTAGGAACCCTACAGGTATGTAATTTCAGGCTCTTAATGCTAAATATTTTCATCATTTAGCTGTATACATTTATGGATTGTTTGGAAACTGTAACTATATGGCTCAAAACTTTATTCTTTAGGGTAACACTGCCTGAAAGCTAACTTCAAAAACACTTAATAGCACAGTTAGATACTGTGCCTGTGATTTAAAAAAAACAAAACAAAACAAAAAAAGAAACAACAAACACAAACAAAAAAACCAACTATGGAGTTTTTGTTGTAGCCATGAAAATAATAATTTAAAAAAATTAGTCCACTTCTGAATCTGGTATTAGCTGTATCTCGTTTGCAATACTGTTGTGATAGAATTTCCTTTTTAATAATCCCTGCTGCCATTTGAAACTGTTGTTGTTTCACAGCGCGCCTCATGAATACATATTATGATGCATGTTATTGCCACACTTCTAGATCAGTGAAGCAACCTAGTACCACACATACAGTGATGCACCCATTCCTTTTCAGAGTTGGAGGTGACCATTTCAAAATTAGGAGAATTCAGGCCAGCATGGCCATGTGCTAAAATAGTTTGAGGTTTACAGATAATAACATGACTACTAGTTACAGTACTTCAAACCACCAGCCATACTTCCTCCATGCAGTGAAAGTTTAAGGCCACTTTAATGTAAAATATGAAATTCGTACAGGAAAGAAAAAAAACAAGTCCTAGCAGAGGGTTTTTGTTTGTTCTGATCAGCAGGAAGAATTGGTTACACTCCTGTGATAGAAGAATATTTGGCAATCGGCCTCATTGGAGGTATTTAATGAGGCTGTCTTTGTGCGTGTTATCACAGGACGAATTACTGAAACTTATGAAGTCTGTTTAGTTTACTGAACCCCTTTTTTGTGTGTGTGAGGTTGCTATGTGTACCTTTACACCTTAGCTTACAAGTACCTTTTGTCTTGAATAAAACAGGAAATGGAAAATGTGATAACAGATTAGTTCTTTCCAAAATAACAGAAAAACAGGATTTGACAGGATTTGATTGCTTGTAATATTTCTCAAATGTCTCACCCGCAGAATTTGTTTAATTCATTCTGAGCAGTGATTCAGTGAGTTTGGAAGTAAAGCAGAAAGCTGTCCATCTGGGGACATTTGGAACTGGAACAACTTTTTGCATTTAAAACTAGTACTTCATAAGCTACCTTCTACAGAATTTCCTAAAAATTTTTTTTTATTACTTGAGAATATACAGTTCCGGAGACATTTAGATCAAGTGCATTGTTCAAGTTCTCAATGTTACTGATTCTGAAGGCTCCAAAGGAGCTGTTACGATCTTCCTGCTCAAACATGCTTTATTTCGGTATTACATTTGTTGCATTTTAGTCTTACATTTATTAAACTACTTTGGACAATGTGTAATAATTTTTAATAATGATTCTTGGCAATCGATATCAGGCTGTCTTTAATCAGTTTAGATTATATTCAGATATTGTATAGTAAAGGCATGTGTAGTTCTTCCTAAGTGTAAAATTTATCATTTGAATTAAAAGTATGATCACAGAAGGCAAAGGCTAGAGCCTTTATGGAACTAATTAAAGATTTGGAAGTTCTCATTCTCCTTTCTGATAGCTGTGGTCACTCAGTAGTGGTTACAGATTACTCTTATCATACTGGCCCTCCTGCTTGTCATCTACCCTCCAAAAAAGCTGTGTAGCTTTAATTGAACAGAGAGGATTAAATTCCTAAAATTTTGTGGATATCGCTGTGCTCATTTTTCTTGTGTTACTTTTCTGGCAGGTACAAATAAAGTGACCTCTCACAACTGGCTAGTTCCTATCTACAGGTGGATGCATTGCTCACAGGTTTTGTACAGCCTGTGGAAGCATTTAAAACCAGCTTACAGTATCTTGACATTTCATGAATATTTGTAGGATATTTACATATTTATATTTTATTTTTTTCATAGTTTGGATTCAGGCATGATATCCAGTGGCACTTAATAAAGAAAGTGTAAGAAATCTTGTTGTCTTCCTGAATCATAACCATGTTCTAGTTAATAATCAGCTCTCAAGAAAAACTTTTATGTTTCTTGAAAAATTTCTGATGGAAAAGAAATGTGGGCAATTACGTGATTTGGTTCTTTCCTACCCTTTATACTTTTAATTTAGGCATCCACTGGTCACCTCCAGTGAAATTTGTTAGTATTCTAAATCTGCCATGTTCCTGTGAGAGCCCAATAAAGGCAAGACAAAAGCATGAGCTCTATCACACAGAATCACAGAATGGCCAGGGTTGGAAGTGACCTCAAGGATCATGAATCTCCAACCCCCCATGCCACATGCAGGGCATCGAACCTCCACATTTCATACTAGACCAGGGCCCCATCCAGTCTGGCCTTGAACACTTCCAGGGATGGGGCATCCACAACCTCTCTGGGCAGCCTGTTCCAGCACCTCACCACTCTCTCTGTAAAGAATTTCCCCCGACATCCAACCTAAATCTTCCCTCCTTTAAACTTAAATTTATTTCCCCTTGTCCTGCTGTTGTCTACCCTT